GACAAGCGTGAAGCCGGAGCGGGCGGCTGGAGAGAGTGCCGCACCTCCCAAGCGTGGGGGCCGTTCGGGAAGGGGATGTCCTGCACGTGCGCGCAGACGGCCTTCTCGAGCGTGCCCTCGTACAGGAAGCCGAGCAGCGTGCCCGCCACGCCGACGATGGCTGCGTTGCGCAGCAGCGTCCCGCCGTCCCGCGCGTGCTGCACCTGCAGAGCAGCTCCGAGCGGGCTCAGGGGCCGGGCGGTCCCGCCTGCCGTGCCGCGCACGCCGCACCGCCGACCGCCAAACAAACAGAACGAGCTGCCGGCACCCCGACGCAGTACGCCGGCCGTGGTGGTGCCGCAGCCGCCGGTCCAGCGTCGACATCTCGGCGGCGGCGCGCGTCGCCCGCCGGCGCGGGCTCTGCACGGCGCCAAGCTCGGCGGCTGCGGCGGCCGCCCCGGCGGCCGTGTCTGCGCGCGCCGCCCTCCACGCCTCGGCGAGGTCGAGGCTGCGCGCCGCGCCTAGTCGCCGCCCCTCGCGGCGGTGATGGGGCCGGGGGCCGCGGCCTCGGCTGAGGGGCGAAGGGGTGAGGGGCTGGCTCGCGCCGTGGGGCGTCTGCTGGTCCGACGGCGCCGCTGTCTGCTCCGACGGGCGGATGGCGCCCGAGATCGCGTCGAGCAGCAGGTCGGCCACGTTCTCGCGCGAGCTCTCGAAGGCTGCGCGGAAGCCGAGGCTGCAAAAGTGGTCTGCGGCGGCCTCGGTGGGTCCCATGTAGACGGTCCTCCCCGACGGGTCGAGCAGGAGCAGCTTGTGCCTGTCGGCACACACGCCCCGGACGTGTCATGGACGTGCCCTTCGCCTGGATGGCTCGGGCGGCGGCGGCTGGTTGCGTCAGCTCGAAGAGAGAGAGGCGCGGCTGGTGCAGCACGGCGCAGACGGCGATCCCGTGCGACGCGAGGCCGACGAGGCACGAGCCTGGGGGTGGGGGACACGGGGGGGGGACCCGGGGGGGTGGACACGGGGGGGGTGGACACGGGGGGGGTGGACACGGGGGGGTGGACACGGGGGGGTGGACACGGGGGGGTGGACACGGGGGGGTGGACACGGGGGCGACTCTGATGGCGTGCACGTGCGGCGTCGCGCGCTGCACTCTGAGCCTCTGGTGAGGACGAGGGGGTGGCAAGCGATCGCGCGCAGTCCTTGCTGGCTGGCGGGCGCAGGTCCGTAGTCCGCATCTAGGCTGCATCTAGGGGGGCATCTAGGGGGCACGGGCAGAGCTCGAGGGCGGCGGTCGAGTCGAGGCCGGAGGTAGGCTCGTCGAGGAAGAGGAGGGACGGGTCGGCCGCAAGCTCGACCTGTTCACAGCTCAGCGGGATAGAGGGTGTGAATAGGAAGAGGAGGGACGGGTCGGCCGCAAGCTCGACCTGTTCACAGCTCAGCGGGATAGAGGGTGTGAATAGGAAGAGGAGGGACGGGTCGGCAGCTCCACCCCGACGTTGACTCGCTTCCGCTGGCCGCCCGAGAGGCCCCTCCTATAGGACACGTGTCGTGGGCGCGTCTTGTGACGCACGCCGGCCCGCCCTCCCCGCCCGGCAGCAGGCCCGACCGCGCAACGTCGCCGATGGCCGCGTCCTTGACGTGCGTCAGGCCTAGAGAGCGAGGAAGACTTCCTAGACACTTCCTAGACCTTTCCATGACCTTTCCTTGACGTGCGTCAGGCCTAGAGAGCGACGGAAGCGGTCACACTCCTCTCTCGATAGCACCGCCGCCCCCCTCGGCGTGCTGCCGGACCGAGCAAGTCGACCAGCCGGACCACCCACTCGTTCAGCTGCGACGCGGGCGTCTCTGCAGGCAGCCGCAGCCGCGCGGACACCCAGAGCGACTCGGTGACGGTGAGCGTGGGCAGCAGCACGTCCTCCTGCGGCGCGGGCCGACCAGCGGGTGAACAGACAGAGGAAAGGCGTGGATGGAGCAATGAGTGCGGCATGAAGGGCGAGGAGCTTGCGTGCTCTCGAGCAGTGCTCTCGAGCAAGTCTAGGTGATCTCGGGTGATCTCGGGCGATCTGGTCCTGCGGCACAAAGGCGATCAGCTTGTGCACCTCGCGCGTCGACCGCGCGGGGCGGCCTGACGGAGCAGAGCGACTCGTGACTGCGTGGGCGGCTGGCGGCAGCTCTTCCTCTCGCTCCACGCCGTTCAGCCGGATGGAGCCGGACGAGGGCGTCAGCTTGCCGGAGAGCAGATTGATGAGTGTCGACTTGCCGCACCCGGACGGGCCCATCAGCGCGGTGAGCTCGCCCGGCAGCACCTCGCCGCAAGCGTCGGTGAGGACCGCCTCGCCCGAAGGGAGGCGGTAGGAGAGGCCCTCGAACGAGAGGGCGAGCCGGAGCGACGGGTCGTGCACCAAGTCCATCGACCGCTTCAGCCCCGCCATCAGCCGCTCCGTCACCTGCGGACGCGCCGTGGACGTGTCCCGGACGGCTCCGACTGGCGGGGACGGCGGCAGCGTCTGGCCGCGGGGTGGCCCCGCGTGCTGAGGAGGTGTCGGGGGCCGGAGGTGTCTACGAGGTGTCTCTGAGATGTCGGCCCGCCTCTCCGCGCGTCTCAACGCCGTCCAGCTCGCGCCTGCGGCAAGCGGACACACGGGGAGTCACTACTCGCGGTTAGTGATGCGCCAGCTACGAGGAGAGCGGATGCGGAGCGCAGTGGAGTGTGCCCGAGTACGTGTCGTCTCGAGTGCGCGCTCACGCTGACGAGCAATCTAGGGCCCGCTCCGCACGCGCGCGACGATTTGCGCGCGGCGCCGCAGCAGGTAGAGGCGGCTGGCGAGGCCACCGCCGCCACCGCCGAGGAGGCAGAGGCCGAGGTAGAGGAGGACGACCGAGTCGAGCAGCTTCATCTCCGTCTCCACCCCGTGGTCGGGCAGGTTGACGGCCTGTGTCGCGCAGCCGCGCTCGTAGTCGCTTCCCCAGCAGCTAAGTGCGCCGCCTGCGAAGAAGGCGCCGAGGACAAAGGCAGTCGCGGAGACGAGCGTGCCCAGCCACCAGCGGAGCGAGCTCGTGTCGTTCGCACGCCGCGACGACGGCATCAGCAGCGAGATTGGATCCGGGAGGCTCGCGCCCACCGCCTTGACTGCGCCGCTGACCGCCGCCGCCGTGGCGGCAGCCGCGGGAGCCACCGTGTCGGTGAGCCTCTCCAGGGCCCGCGAACCCTGCCTCCTGTGGCCCGGCGTCACTGTCGGCCGTGCCAGCTCCGTCGACGGCTCGGACAAAGGCTCACTGTGGCGGCCACTTCCGCCGGTCGGGCTCACCATGTGCGGCGGCATCGCGTCGCCACGGACAGCCACGAGTGGCTGCACGCCTGTGTCATCGCTGGAGTGGGCCGTCGAATCATGGCGCGCCGCGTCGTTAGTGACGAGCGGACTCGACGCGGTGTATTCGTCCATGCCCACGAGGCTGCAAGCCTGCAAAATGGGCGGTCGCAAAATGGAGATGGCGGTCAGAGAGCTTCGAGCCGACCTTGCGGCCAGCGACAGAGAGGACACATTCCGCATGTTTCTTTTACGTTTGAACGACATTCCCTAAGTGTGAGCCAGGGAGGCGTCAGGCCAAGGCTAACTTAGACTGCGACGAGAGATCGGGAGAGAGAGGCAGACGTTAGTCGTTACTCAGACGACGGTCGAGTGCAAACGTCGTGAGAGTCCAGCACTGCACTCTGGCACTCTGCAGGCTACGAGGCTAGAACCACTCTGCGTTCCCTAAAATCCCTATGCGAGCAACACAGGGCGGCGTGCCGTTCTAACAAGAAATCTATACGCACCCACAGTGTTTTGCTAGGAAAAGCTAGGCCTATCATCAGCACGCCTCTCCCGTGCCGCCCCTTCCCCCCCGCACGTCCCCGCGACGCTTTACTCGTGTACCGGGTTTCCCCTTAACTGCAGAACGCCCCCTCTACTCGGAGCTAGTGGACGCAGTTTCTCAGGTGTATTCTTTTTTTGCTTGGCCGGACATCATGACGGGGTAGGTACAGTAGGGTAGGTCTGGGCCCTCCCGTCGGGTTTTTCCCTCTCTTCACGCTGGAATTTTCACAGCAGAAAAAGAAATTTTCCGTGCAAATCACGATGTCAACCCTCCTCAAATGGGTGATCTGGTGCTTGTAGGGCTTGAGAGTGGCCTGCCATGTCACAGGAAGGACTGTGGTTGCAGGAGAGCACCACCAACCATCACTTTAAGTTGGTATGGTACCCCACCTTCACGCTTCGCGTGATTTCTTTTTTAGTTTCCCATAAGTAGGGTAGGTAGGTAGGTAGGTAGGTAGGGGCAGGGCAGGGGCCGGCCAGGTTTTTGCAGAATTTCATCATGATGTCCGGCAAAGCAAAAAAGAATACACCTGAGTTTCTCACCAATTCTCGCAGCGACCTTCATGCCACCTCGCGTTCTTCCCACTCTCGTCCTCGTTCTCTCTCCTGCTGTTTCATCCTCTGACTCATCGCTCTCCTCGGCCTCGTTTTGAGACGCCGCTGCCGTCCTGTTTTTTCTTTTGCCTGTGCATTCACGTTTCAGCCCGCGAGTGGTGGCGCGATGCTCGCTGCCGCTCTCGTGTCCCAGCATCGGCTCCGGCCGTCTCCGCCGCGTGCTCCGCCCGCCCGCTTAAACTGGCTTGCTGACCTCTTCTCGCCAGTCGCTGCCGACTCGGCCGCCGCCGAACTTGTCTTGAGCGAATTATGCGAGCCAGAGTGGGCGATCCGGTGCGAGCTCGGTGCTGCCGTCGCATCCAGCCTCGGCGGATCGGGCTCGCTTGCGCGAGGCAGGACAGATGCGTCGACCGACGTGCGACTCGACTGCGGAGTGCGCTTCGAGATCGATGCCGGCTTTGACCCACCTCAGGGCACCGTTCGACTGGCGAGGCCAAGCAGGTTGCTCGCGGCAGAGGGTTTCTGGAAAATTTCGGAGACGGATGACCGGGACGTGCCAAAGGCCATCTCTTGGCGCCTTCAGTCCACTGGCATTCGGGCGGGGGAGGAGGAACTCGTTCCCCCCGGTCCGCTCTACTTCAACGCGCTCCTGGAGGGCGACGGCTCTACTTTGCCACTGCAGCTAACGGCGGGACGGCTCACCGTGAAGGAGGATATCGGAGCGGATGTCGGCATCTTCCGCGCGCGGGGCATCCTGGCCGAGTTCAAAATTGTGGGAGCCTTTGAGGCCCAGCGGGCCATCGACCCTGCTCAGCCGCCCGCTTCGTGATCCAGCTGTGTCGCCAGTACCTCCGGAGAGTTTCATGTCCTATCTGTCCGGTGCATGCCTATCTTGGTTTTTTGTGGGGTCATCACAAAAATCCACATAATCCACAGTAGACACACACAGTCACAGAACCGGCAAGCGACTCGAAGTGAGAAAAAACCTTGTAAGAGAGCGTCTCTGGCGTCTCGGAATCGAGCGAAGACAGAGACGGAGAGCACCAGTACTTAAAGAGAGACAGAGAGCGAGAATTGAGCATGGAAACGAGCAAACAGAGGAGCAGAGAGCACGCATCTCTAACAGGCCCGCTCCTTCCTCAACCGCGACATACAGTGGAGGGCGCGGGCTTCATCGTACGTCACCAGCGTTGGAACCTTTGGTACCATCAGGCGTAGGGACGTGACGACGACAAGCCGCATCGGCAGGGAGGCAGGAAGTAGCACGACCAGCAGCCGAATCTGGGCGGAGAGCTGAGGCCGAAGCTCAAGCCCTCGGCGGACGCACTCTGCAAAGTGTGTCGGGCCCGGCAGTGGGCAGGCCCGCAGATCCCAGAGCGCGACGCTCTGCTGGGAGAGAGCGAGACTTGCTTCGAGATAGTCGAATAGGAGATTGACGGCGTCAGAAGTAACCCTCTTGCCGTCCATCTTGGCGTGCAGGCGTGGGTGGCGGAGGGTGGGGTGCGAGTCGAGGCGCAGTGTGAGATTTCCAGTCGTGCGCTCTGGCAGCTCGGGCTTGAAGGCGAGCTCGTCAGTTGGATGCGATACCAGCGCTACAGCAGCAGCCTGCTGTTCCTTGTCGTACTCGCTTGAGGCCAGATTGCGGGCGTGCTTGTCTGGGCTGGTCGGGCGGAACACGTCGCACAAGCAGGAGAATGGCCCACGCTCCTGGGTCGACCGCCGCCGGCAGCGACGCACGCTCATTGAAAGCAGGCAGGCAGCGAGGCAGAGAAGGGCGGGCAGCACGCCAGATGATGGCAACCAGATCCTTCTCCCCCTTTCAGCTCCTTTCATGCTTCCCCCTCCCCACCCCCACCCACACTACCACCTGTACACCACAGCAACAACTCCCAATTTTCAGTGTATGTAGCATTTTTCATAGTTTCGGCGGGATAAAAGAAAAATACGCCCAACTTTCCGTTCCCTCCAACCACGTGCGCTTCCAAACGTTGATGTGTCGACGGTTACCTATATACAGCCACCTGCGCCGAGGACCCATGACGGACTCCGCGGTGTCGCAGCATGTGGCGGACTTGGAGACGCGGACACGGTTCAGTGCCGTGTATTTCACGATCACTCTCTTGCTCATCGGCTTCAGCGCCGCACTTGCAGTCTCCGCCGGGCTCGATGACGGCATCAACGCACCCGTGATGTCTGCAATTGGTGGACTCAACGCCATCTGCCTCGGCGTGGAGAGGGCGCTCGACCGAGACATCTCCAGGCGAACACCTTCCTCCAACAGGGCGTGCGCATAGTTGCCCGGCGAGGCGGACGGCAGTTGCACCACTGGGGTCGGTGCATGAGTCCCTGATGCAACAGGGCCTGCTCGGAGGATGCTCCCGCGGCTAACTAAACGTAGAGCTGGACAATGGCAGACCCTGGGACTGCTGCGGCTGACCGGCTCTATCGTCCAATGCCTAGCGCCGAGCGCTCCCGCCACCCCCTCGTCGGCGAGTTACAGGACTAGCTCCTGGACGATAAATCCTACGCACCGACGCTGATAGAGGAGAGGTCCTCTGTTGCGACCACGAGATTGGCCCACGCGATCCGTGTCCCGCGAGCTTCGAGCCTTTGGGCCGCTCTCGCCCCGAGCTTGAGGGCTCAAGTTGGTGGGCTTTGACGTCTCTGCGCAGCCAGGAAGTGCCCGTACAAGACCGCTGGACAACGCGTAGCTAATACCAACGATGAGTCTCCCTTCAGTTCGTAATGTGGTCTGTGTTTCGCCTGCCATTGTGTGGTAAATTGTGTAGTGCTCCACGCACCGTCGGTTGCGTGGGCGGTAAGGAGGAGCCGCGCCGGACTCGATTTTCTGACTTTTCTTTCTCTCGTCTCTCTTGGGGCTTGGTGTAAATTCTCGTTGCACGCGGTTCTTGGTGTACCTGTGTTAGTGCCAGTGCGCGCCAGTCCCGTGCCCAGTGTTGTGCGAGGGAGTTTTCTTCTAAAACTCTTTTCTGTCCCGTACCCGGTAAAGAAAGAAAGAAAGAAAACACACAACCCAAGGGAGGGATGGGAGAACGGCACGCCGCCACCACACAGCCGTACCCGGTGTCGTGCGAGAGAGCCCGCACAAAATTCTTTTTCTCGCGATGTCCACCCCGCCGCGCCGCCGCTCGCGCCGCCTCGCCCCCGCCGCCACCGCCGCGCCCTCGCCAGACACGCCGCCGCCCGCCCGCCTCCTCGACCTCCCCACGGAGCTCATCGTGCGCGCCCTCTCTCGCTGCGACCCCGCCGACATCGCTCGCGTCGCGGCCGTCTCGCTCCTCTTCCACGGCTCACTCGCGGTGGAGGCCATCCGCTTGTGGGCGCAAGAGCGCGGCTTCGAGCTGCCGGCGCAGCCAGAGGGCGAGGGCTGCGCCGTGCGGTGGCTGTCCTTGTCGGCGCTGCTGCGCGAGTCCAACCCGCCGGCGAGGGCGGCCGCAGGCATGCAGCACAGCATCTTCATCGACGGCGAGGGGCGGCTCTCGTCGTGCGGCACGGCAGCACAGGGCGAGGAGGACGAGGAGGAGGACGCGGAGGACTTTCCAGGCCTTCTCGGTCACGGCGAGGGCGTGCTGCGGCTCAACACGCCGACACGCCTCCCTCCGCTGGGTGGCGAGCGCGTCGTCGCCGTGTCGGCTGGAGATTCTTACAGCCTCGCCCTCACCGCCGACGGAGCTGTCTGGAGCTGGGGCAGTGGAGGCGTCAGCCTGTTGGGCCACGGCGACGAGCAGACCCAGTGGCTGCCGAAGAAGGTCGAGGCCTTTGCTGGCCGGCGCGTCGTCGCCGTGTCGGCTGGAGGTATGCACAGCCTCGCCCTCACTGCCGACGGCGCCGTCTGGAGCTGGGGCCAGGGAGGCTTGGGCGCGCTGGGCCACGGCGACACGCAGCACCAGCCGCTGCCCAAGAAGGTCGAGGCTTTGGCTGGCCAGCGCGTCGTCGCTGTTGCGGCTGGATGGGCGCACAGCCTCGCCCTCACCGCCGACGGTGCCGTCTGGAGCTGGGGCTGTGGAGGCTCTGGTCAGCTGGGCCACGGCAACCGGCAGGACCAGCTCCTGCCGAAGAAGATCGAGGCCTTGGCGGGGCGGCGCGTGATCGCTGTGCTGGCTGGAAGCAGCCACAACCTCGCCCTCACCGCCGGCGGAGCCGTGTGGAGCTGGGGCAATGGAGGTGGGGGTCAGCTGGGCCACGGCGACCGGCAGCGCCAGCCGCTGCCCAAGAAGATCGAGGCCTTGGCTGGCCAGCGCGTCGTCGCCGTGTCGGCTGGAGACGACCACAGCCTCGCCATCAACGCCGACGGAGCCGTCTGGAGCTGGGGTTTGGGAGGCTTTGGCAAGCTGGGCCACGGCGATGAGCAGCGCCAGCTGTTGCCAAAGAAGGTCGAGGCCTTTGCTGGCCAGCGCGTCGTCTCTGTGTCGGCAGGAGACGAACACAGCATCGCCATCACCGCCGACAGCGCCTTCTTTGCCTGGGGCAGGGGCGCCAACGGCTGCCTAGGCCACGGAGAGGACTTGTCGCACCAGCTGCTGCCCAAGAAGATCGAGGTGGGGGAGCGGGAGTGAGCTGTGAGGGTGGAGAGGGTCCGCCCGCAGGCGCATTTTGTATGCCGAGGCGGTGCGCGGTGCCGAACCTGTCGGACCTGTGGGCGCGGGAGTAAATGCCGTCGTATTAAATGAAATGAAAGCGGCACAAACGCCAGGCTACAAACATGGGGAGGCACGTGTGAGTGAGTGAGCACACACACACACACACACACACACACACACACACACACACACACACGGAGGCATGCTTCATCTTGGAGCACTTGGAGTGCAGTCATCAACCGCAGTCCGCACATCCAGAGGGCCGGGGAGCTAAGAAGCGCACCCAGCGGGCCGGATGATTGGCATCGGGTTGCGGGCAAGAGAGCCCTAGCCCTGGGGGTGCGCGTTCGCAGGGCAAGGGCCGTAAAGTAAACACGGGTCTCCGAGGGTTAGTACCGCGCTCCGGGTTTCCCCGCTGCGCGCGCAGGCCCTTGGTCGCTGACAAAAGTTATCAGAAATAGACTATACGCCCGAAATACCGATGTAACGCAATAGCTCCCAAATAGCTATAGCCGCGTGCCGCGTAACCACGTAAAAGCAATCGAGTTGCTTTTACGTGAGTCGTGACCCAGTGCGATATACGTGACGTAAATATCTCGCAGTTGGAGTGTGTGACTGGTTGGGTAGTAGTCTAAGTTCTGACTGAGCCTCGAGGCCTAGCGGGTCTAAGTGTGGCTAGCCACGCTGGAGTGCTTGCGCGGTCTAAGATCAGCGGGAGCCTCTTACATCGGCTAAGTCGGCCGTGGCACGGCCTGGGGCCAAGAGGCTCCCACCGTGATCAACGAGATACGGCGCAGCCCCCAAATTTTCTTCGCCAGCAGCCAGCTTGTTGCGCTGCTTCGTTGCGATGAGCTGATTGGGATCGCAGAAGTGCATGCCAAGCACCGCCACGATCTTGAAGCAGAACACATCGCAACCGCATCGTCCGCACTGCCATCGGCATGCCGCGCCCGCCGCTTCGCCGCAGCCGCCTTAAGGCACGCATAAGAGCGGCAGCACATGGTACGGTAACCCACGCGTACTTGAGCAGGCGTTGCGCGCCGCAAGTGCGCACTGGCCCTGGGTAAACCTGGAGGCTTTTCAGGTATACCCGGGTTTGGGGCCAAAGGCTCTTGTCGTCTAAGTACGGCTTTAAGGACATGGGTCATGGCCCCCGACCATACAGCGTCTAGCCCTACTACCCAACCATTAGTGTGTGCATGCGCCGCACCCGCGCATTCGATCACATGGAGAGGCACGCCACTCGGGACTCGCTGGGCGTCACACTATTTGTGTGCGCATAACAATGGGGAGCGGGGCGTGCGATGCTCTCTCAGCATAGAGAGAGAGCAACACACATAAAATATTCGAATAACATCCAATGCATGCGCACGCGTGGAGAGACCGCAACGCGCAAGAGATGGGTTCCAGGTGGGTTAAAAGATCGGTTAGCGGGAGGAGGAACCGTTACGGAAAAGCATGCGCGACGCTGCCTCTTTGCACCGCTCGCTCGCGGCTGCGGGAGACATGGCCGCCGATGCGGCTCGCACTCGCTCGGCGGGCCTCCGTCCCACAGCCGCCCGGGCGTGCCACGGGTCTGCCTGGCGCTACGCTGCTCGCACGCTACACTGCACAAAGCTGCGACAACAAGGGGAGGCTCCTCAGCTTGAGGGTTGAGCAGTGCAGCTGCGGGCGCTCGTGGGCGGCTGTGCAGTGGTGAGAGTGCCTGACTGGAGGCGAGCTGGTGCTGCGCCAGGGTGCGCAGCATGCGCTCTTGCTCTGTGCTGAGGCATGCTGGCTGGCGCCCAACACAATGCCCTGGATGCATTGCTCCACGCCGTGCTGGCTGGTGCAGTACTGCCAGTGCGCCGACTGGCGCGCAGGGTGCGCGTCACCGCGCGTGGCACGGGTGGCTCGAGAGGCGCGGCTGTCGTTCAACCCCGCGGCGCATGTGCGCCGCGGAAGCTGCTCGACAGGCTGCGGGCATCGCTGCGGCAGAAAGCGCCCGCCCTCTGCTTTGCTTTCGCCCGCGTTTTACGACAACTTTCGGTTTATCATAGCCGCCGAACTTTACCTCGCTGTTTCTTTATAGGCGTCTCGCAGCTGCGTATTCTCGTATTATCTTCGAGTAGTTGCGTGGGGGCGGTATGTATTCTCGTATCAGTAGTTAGTGTCGTGTCCACTAGCTCCGAGTAGAGGGCAGCGTCCTGCAGTTAAGGGGAAACCTGGTACGCGGGGCTAACCCTCGGAGAGTATTCTTTAGCTCCGAGTAGAGGGGGCGTTCCGCCGCTAGGGGACACCCAAAGCGCAGAACTAACCCTCGGAGACCCGTGTTTACTTTAAGGCCCTTGCCCTGCGAATGCGCGCCCCCCCCCTAGCTAGGGGTCAGGGCTCTCTAGCCCGTAGCCCGATGCCGATCATCCGGCTCGCTGGATGCGCTTCTCAGCTCACCGGCCCTGGATGTGAGGTTACCGACTGCACTCCAAGTGCTCCAAGTGCGGGACAATACCAAACAAGTTGATTGTTTGTGTTTGGTGACAAGACTGAATACCGCGGACACAATCGCAGCTCCCGTGCCATTTCTCACTTATGACCAGACTTAGACACGGCGACACAGGTCAGCTCGTGAGGTTTAGGCCGCCCTCTGCGAGCCCAGGCGCTCTGTCGAGAGTGCCGACGCGATGTCGACGATTTCCCTGGACTTACGGCAGGCGCAGCAACGGAGGCTCCAACGCCACATACTCGCCTACCGCATCGTCGCCAGAATCGCCGAGTGCTGCGAGCGGCGGGCGCGCCGTTGCTCCTCCTCCTGCTGGTCCTGCAGAGGCGGCTGCCTGCCCATAGCCCCCACCCACCGCTCGAAGCACCGCCGCCCGCTCCAGCCGGGCAGGTGGGTGGCGAGCAGGCCCCACGTCTTGCGGTTGTCGGAGCGCGCGAGCAGTGGCGCCAGCAGGCGAATCCTCGCCTCCGCCTCCTCCTCCGGCAATGGCAAGGCCGGCGCCGGGTAGATGTGCGCGAGGGATCGCACAAGGGCGGCCGGCAGCGACGGGCGCTTGCCCCGCGAGTTCGCCGCCCTGATAGCGTCGAGCACTCCGATGGCGGGCGTCGCCTCTGGGAGGGTCGGGAAGCCCGCCGGCAGCGGGGCGCGCAAGTCGCGCCAGTTTACCTCCTCTGGCGCGCCGCCCGTCCAGTATGCGCCGCGCCCCTCGCCGCCCTCGTAATTGATACGGATCTCCTCGCCCGCTGCGATGGCCTCTGTCGCAACGATCCACATCGCGCCGCTCGTCTCGAACGAGTACTGCCCGATGCTGCCCGACCTTTTCACGAGCAGGTCCGGCCAGAACTCGAGCGCCGCGTTGGGTCGCGACGAATGGTTGGCAAAGATAGCGGCGAAGCGAGGTAGCGAGTACGCGCCTGGCAGGCTGTCTCCATTACCATCGACAATGATGCGCGTCCGCGGCAGAGCGAGCGCGTACATGGAGCCGCGGTCGCCTGCGCGCTGCATCGTCGTGGGGAGTCGCGGCCCGCCGTACTCGCAAACCGCCTGACCAGCCACGAGTGGCGCGCGGGCGAAGAGCCCGCGTCCTTCGACGCTCGGGCACGCCGCGACAAACGCCCACGTAGCGGGGAGGATCTCTTTGGGCGTGCTAGGGACTGACGGGGTCGCGGCTGGCGGCGGCGGCGGCGGCGGCGGAGGTGCGGCTTGGCCAGCGGCGATGAGGTGAGCCTTGAGGCCTTTCATCGAGTCAATCGTGTCGCCGCCACCGGGTGGCAAAAAGTAGATGTCTCCACGTGGTGCGTCGGGGCACTGCACATGCCGCGGAACCCACTTGACGGTCCAGCCTTCCGGCCCGGAGGCGGCCGCCGGTTGGCCTGGCGCCTGAGAGTGCAGCGCTTTGCGTAGAGCCACGAGCTGGCTGAAGGTATGCTCAGCGGTGGACGGCGAGGGAGGCGGAGGAGCAGTGGGAGGGGGGAGGTCGAGGCTGCGGCGTGGCACCTTTCTGGGGCGTGGGCGAGCGGGGCTCGGATCGAACCGCTCCTTGGCGCCGTGTTTGCGGGCGCTGCTCCGCACCGGCTCGCAAGACCCATCGTGGTGATCGGGAAGGTGGCAGCCGGGTGTGCCACAGAGACGGTGCGTCCCACTGTCTGGCAGCGACGGGCTCGACGACAGAGAGCGACTGCTGGGAGGCACCTCGGCACTGGAGGTGCTGAGCGCGGCGCCGGAGGGCGCAGGCGGCGGCTTCTGCGCCGTGCGGTGGCACTGGAGTAGTGACGGCTCGGTGATGCAACCCAGATGCCCGGCCTTTAGCGTGCATCCTCCAGCGGGACGGTCTAGCATTCCACGGAGCTCGTGGAGCATCGAGCAGACCGCTGACCGCTTAGCAGGTCGCGATTTTGACAATGTTGACACGGGACTCGATTGCCCCCGGGGCGACGCGCGTCCAAAGCTTCCGTCGATTTTATACCAACAAGTCGGTGTTTCTTCTAGTTTGCCAGCAGCCCAGCCGCGCCAGTCCGCACCTGTCGGCTGTGCGAGGCGGTTTAAAAATTCTTTTAGCATAGACTAGGTAGCGCCAGCCCTTTATTTCCTTCTCAATAGACCGGATCGGCAATGTTTTTCCCCTCCGCCCATCCAAACGCCCGCCGCGGCGGCCTGAAGCGTGTTCGACGGCAGCGCGCTCCAGTGTGGATTTGACTGGCCGGCGACAGCGGTCGGCTCGAGTCTGAGCGCCACCTTTGGCCGCACCAGCTCCTCTTGAGGGTGGCCCTGCCAGTGGTAGGAGACGTCGAGCATGTACAGCTTCTTGGTCGTGAGCCGCTTCGCGATCTCCGCGTTGCTGTCATTGGGCCTCGCGTAGCGGAGGAGCCGCTCGGCCGCAGCGTCGTCCCGGGGCTTTGACGCTGTGCGCCGGCCAAAGAGCCCGTTCTTCCCATGGCCCGGGCAGTCGGGAAAGGCCGTAGGGTCGCAGACACACGGCTGGCCCTTCGTGCGCGTCGCCAGCGCCGGGATGCGCTGAGCGGGGCAGCCCTTGGAGGTCGGCGTCGGTCAGGCCGTACTCGCTGCGGGCGCGGACGATGCCGAGCTGTGCGACGCCGGCGGGAACGAGCAACTCGAGTCCGAGAGGCGCAGAGGACGATGCCATGAGCTCCGCGCTGTCGTCGCTGGGCAGCGTGGCGACGACGCCACCAAGCCTTCGCAGATGGCGATAGTGGCGACGTCAGCGGTGTCGAGGACCAGCGGACACCTAGTGGGACGCCTGTGTGTCAGAGGAGCGCGTCCAGAGCGCGTCCACACCGCACAGGCACAAGTGTGCGCGCGTGCGGCCGAGTGGCGGCGCGCTCGCGCGCGCGCTGAGGGTGGTTGAGGTGAGATTGACCACCGAGCGCTCGCGAGCGGCCGCGGGGAGGGTCCGTCCACGGTCTCTGTCCTCTAGGAGTCGCGCGGGCGGCCAGGGAGCGCGTGGGAGGTCACCGCATGCGAAGCAAGTCGGCGCGGGGTGCTCGCCCGCAAGCGGTGGAGGCGGGGGCAGCTGCGCGAGCTCAGGATCGCGGGGGGCATGCCCGCCGAGACAGGCGGAGGGGAAAACTTTTTGCCGATCCGGTCTATATCTAGATAGGGAGCGCGGATCCTGCTGAACAAGCTCCTCTTGTAGCTCGATCGGTCACACCGCCATCACCGTCGGGGAGAGAGGGGACGACACTGCTTCGGCAGCGTGCACCTCGATCCTGTACCGTGTTTGTTATGACCCCCCCCGATGAACACACCAGTGAGGGAGGGCGAGACGATCGAGGGGTCCCGTACCACGCGGAATCGGCCCTATCCAGTGCTCAAGTGCTCAAGGGAGCGCGAATCTGTACTCGAGTAGACTGTAGAATTTAAACAAAACAACTCTCTCTCACAGCAGACAGGCTCGACACAGGTGCGAACTGGCGCGTGCTAGACTGTAGAAACGTCGGGGGCGCGTCCATTCGAAGGCGATAGCGCGCGACCGACAGAGAGAGACTTCACCCTTGGGTATCACGCCTTCTCGCGTCGGACTCCCAGCTGTGCAGGGGCCCCCACCGCACTGCGGTCCCCAAGGGTGAAGATACCGACAGCGCCCGGGCCAGCACAGTTCAAAACACAGCGAAATGCAAGCGAGGAGGCCTGCACAATCCGACGTGGAGGTTCGTCTTGCTCGACCACACGACAAACATGCGCAGTACGTGGACAGGAATCGTCTGCTGGGCCAGACACCCAACGATAGGAGTGGGCGGGCGGCACAATCAGACGTGGTGCGGCTCAACGTGCTGGCCAACCACGGCGGCGTGTGGGCCGATGCTACGGTGGCGTGCATGCAGCCACTCGACCTGTGGTTGGACGCGGCGCTCAAGCCCACAGGCTTCTGGATGTACCGGGGCGACTATATTGGAGGCAAGCGGTCCCCGTGCAGCTGGTTTATGGCTGCCGAGCGCGGCTCAAGCATCGCGTGCGGGTGGCGCAGCTTGGGACAGGACTACTGGGCGGCGAGGCCGTGTGGTCTACCGTCCGGGCACGCCGGCGGCCTGCGCGATTACTTTTGGCTGGACGGCGCCGTCCTTGCCCTCGACTGCGCCCTCTGCAAGGCGCTCGTCCTAGGGTCCACTGCACTCCAATAGGTGTCTTCCGGGACGAGCTAAGCACCAACCCAGACGGACTGATGGCGGAGAGTGGGCGCAGGTGCCCTACCTGGAGGCGGAGGCGCGTGGCTCCGCCGCGACGACATGCTGCGGCCGGTGGTTTCAGGACCTCGACACGACTGAGAGCCAACAAATCAAGAGTTGGTTCCTAGGCGGCGCGGGTGGCAGGGGTGGAGTGCCGCGGGTGGTCAAGCTTGCGGTGAAGTCGTACTGGTGCTAGTCGACTTGTCGCAAGCAGAGAGCCATCAACACGTCTTTCGCCGAGTTTGTCATGAGTCTCGCCCTCTCGGGGAGAGCGCAGCCGGGAGAACTCGCGAGACCGAGAGCTGACTTGCAGCTGCACCACCACGTCCAGGGGCAGTACGGTTTTACATACGCCGAACGGGCGCGTCGAGTCCGCCGTCCTCGCTCACTCGGTCACCGCTCGGACGCGCAGGACTCAAACGGAAACGCTTTCGACATACACGTAACGGAGGCCTGCGCAGAGCCGACTGTTACTTTCCGAAACCTCGTTTTGTTCTTTATTACCGAAATTGGCGAAATCCGAAAACCCAAAACAAAAAGAAGCGGCAGACGCAGAGAGACGTGTTGACCCACCTCACAGAGAGGTGTCCGTTTTTATTTATTTATTTAGAGAGACGTGACTCTGGGGGACTCTCTGCTGAAAGTCTCTCTGATTATTCCCACCAGTGTGCTCACTCGACAAAGTTCAGCCCAACCCTGTGGTCCAATCCATCGTGCACGAGCGATTCGTGGTTGTAGGCGACGCTCGAGACGAAGAAGCGCACGTACCGCTCAACACTGGGCGAGCACAACGACAGCTGTGGCCCCTCGCCTGCAGCGGCTGCGGGCCACGGGTCGTGCGGCCCAATCTCGTGAGAGATGCCGTTGCAGGTTGTTGCGGTGCCGCGCAGACATCGCACACACAGCGCGCCGCAACCTTCTTCCGATCGCGTCACAGCAACAACCTTATCTGCATCGTGTTGAACGCAAATCACTTGCGCGTCCTCCTCGCTGCCAAACCCTTGCTCGAGTATCGGTTTGCCCACCGACCCGCTGCGAAAGGAGGAGCCCAGCCGCACGAGGCAAATCAGCCCAGACGATGCACGGTGTTGATCGACCCCGTATGCGAGCGTGGCGGTGGGTGCATGGTAGGACACGCAAGCAACGGAGCAGGATGGGTCGCGGAAGGGCAAGGTAGCTGCAGTGATTGACTGGCCCGTCTCCCAGCGCCACAGAGCCAGCTCGCCCGCCGATGAGACACTAATGAGCTCGCCGTCCGACAGCGCGACGAGCCCAATCACTGGACTCGTCCGCCGCCCGAGGGCCCGCACCTCTCGTCCAGCGACAACATCCCAAATCCTGAGGGTGCGGTCCTCGCCCGCCGAAGCCGCGTGCGTTGGTGCCGCGCCCTCGCTGCCGCCAAGAAGGACGACCTTGAGGATGGCACCCTCGTGGCCCGCCAGCGTGTGCAGCAGCTCGCCGTCGCGCGTGTCAATCGCAGCGTCGGATCGAATCGGCTCTGCCGCTCCATCGGCCGCTACCGCGGCCGGCGCTGGCCCCAGCCGCCACACTTTAACCGTTGGAGCGTACGGGTACGGCTCGTACGCCGTCGGGTAGCTCGGGTGGCCGTCGCCGCTGACGACCAACCGCGAGCGGGCGTGCAGCGCCACGGCGAGCACCTGCTCCTCGTGCACCGCGCCGCGCAGCGACTGCACCTCTGCTCCAGCATTCGCTGCAAGCCTGAAGCGCTCAAACGGGTTCTCGCCGGGCGCCTCGCCGCTCTTGTACATGCTGGCGCATGCGACGGCGCCAGAGGAGAGGCCGACCGCGATAGTGACAGGCTGCGACGTCCAGTCGACGGACACGGAGCGGACAAAGCGGTCGTAGGGGAGGAGCCGCTGCGCGTTTCCAAACTTGCCGATGTCGCCCTGGTGCCACTTCCGCCGCAGCGCTCCGGCGCGGCGGTAGTCCTCGACCGTTGCGGGCGCCGCCCCGCGGCGGTGGTAGGGAGCCAAGAGCGGATGTGCCAAGATTTCATCCCACACCGTGCCGCACGCTAGGACGGCTGCGTTCAGGGTGGCGCTGCACGCGGCGAGCCGGCTGAGCGACTGTGCCGACAGGTGGTGCAGCAGGAGGTCCAGCTCGTCGGACGGCAGGTGGAGCAGGTGCGTCACGCCGCCCTCGGCCGGCGGGCCGCTCGCGACGGTTGCAGGCGTGAGATTCTCCCGCTTTATGGCGAGGAGCTTTTGCGAGGCGGCGGCGCGGATGCCGTATCGGCCGCTGGCGGCGTCGTAGCGGAGGACGCGGCCCTCGAGGCCGTTCAGCTCGGGCCTCGCCGTGAGGCCGCGGAGCGAGACGGGCGTGCCCGTGCATAGGCGCGGTGCGGCCATGTGCTTACAATTGTAGACGCGGCCTGCGCCGCCGACCAGCCCGCGTCGGCCGTCGCGATGCACTCCACGTATCGGGCTCCTCCACGGCGGCCATGTCAAAAGAATTTTGCCATCCACCTTGGCCGCTCTGTGTATCTCGAGACCTCGAGAGAAGGCCGCCCGCAGGCCCCCCGAGGGCCCAAGTCAAGAATTGGCTTTCTTTCGGCGGGCAACCATCCACCTGGATGTGAGGCTGCCAAATGCACTCCAAGTGCTCCAAGGATGTGCGGTTGATGACTGGTTGATGACAGTCCACCTGTGTCCTGTGTGATGCACGCCCGACTGTCCCTCTGTGTTCGTGTGAGTCGCCCATCTCTCCCTGGAGATGACTGCTCTATTTATTTATTTATTGCGGTTGATGACTGCACTCCAAGTGCTCCAAGTGCCCCTCCTTAAAATCCCTGTGTGGTGGCGGCGTGCCGTCCTCCCATCCCTCCCTTGGCTTGTCTGTTTTCTTTCTTTCTTTCTTTCAAAAGAAAAGAACCTACGGGGATTCGCAGGTGGAATTTTCGCTAGTCGCAACAACTATACTGAATAGTAACCCTCTAAAGCTGAGAGCAAGGGCTCCACTGTCAGCTCACATAATAGAAGGGGGCGTCCCCTGTTTTCCTGCTCTCGGCGGGCGCCCAGGGCGGCCCCTTGCGCCGCCGCGCCCGTCCGCGGCGCGGCGGCGGCGCGGACGCAGGCACCGGCTTTGCGGGCGGCGGTATCGGCGACGGTGGCGGCGGCGGCTCCACGGCGGCTCCCGGCTCCAGAGATGTTGCCGCCGGGCACGCGCGGGAGGGGGACCCGGGGCGTGATTTGGGCTTTGGTGGCGAGGGTGGGACGGGAAGCTGCTTTCGCGATCGAGCGGGCACGTCGGGCAGGTCCCCGATGGTCCACGGCATCTTTGCGCTGGCGTTGAGATGGCGCTGCGTGGCCTTCCACTCCCGGTCGAGCTTGTCGAATTTGATGACCGGGGTGCTGTGCAGGATCGAACTGAGCAGCCTCTGGTTCGCCTCGTCGATTCGTCGCATCGTGACTTCCCTCTGCGGCGGGCACAGGAGGCGAGTGGCGTGGCAGTCAGAGATGAGTCACGGGCATGTGCTGGCTGCGGGGTCTGCGTCTGCGTCTGTGGCACGGGCGGCCAGCCGGCCTGCTCGACCGAAACCTTTCGCTTGTGTAGCCGTCCGCGCTCGGTGCCCTCGTCGAGGGAGCAGAAGCGGGACGGCTCGTCCAGCACGCGGCACAGGCTCTGCATGAGCTGATGGTTTTCCCTCTCTATCCGGTCCGAGGTTTGTGCGCGGGCCTTCCTGCGGCCCTCCATCCGCACCTTCGTCTTGGTGCACGAGCGCGGCGGTGTGTTGTCAATCCCTGGTTTGATGCTCCGAATCCGATCGAGGTGCATCCGATAGTCAGCTTGGATCTCACCAATCGCCTGGGCCTTTCCCGCAGCCGCCGCCGCGCCCTCAATAGGCCAGCGAGGCATCGGCAGGCGGTCTATGTGCGCGTTTCGCTTCTGCGCCGCCTCTCTCTCACCAGCTCGCTTGGGCGTCCCCGACTTGTCCAGCGCTGAGCTGGGCTGAGTCAGGTGGATTGGATCTTCACCCAGCGAAGCGACTCGAGTGAGGCTGGAAGAGGCCGCGCTTAGCATGTCGCCGCGCCGCGAGGTCACGGCGGCGGACTGAGGACGGTTGTACGCTCTCGACGGCGGCATCGAGTGACGGCTCCCAGCGGGGGCGACGTTCAATCGAGCCACAAACCAACAAAAGGCGGCCGCAGATTTGTAACGTGCGCACGTCGAGGGGACGGCCGTGTTCAAGAGATAATCTTGTTCCCAGATGAAGACACAGAGCTACTAATGAGTCTTCACGTGGAACAGTGGGGCCTGGAGCCCCTGGTTCTTGGTCTAGGTCGCGCTCTCGCGGGGAACAAGCAGCTGCAACGGGCGGCATCTTCTGTTGTGTGTGGGGGTCCTCCGGGCGTTCGTGAGGCTCTTCTCTCTCGTGTGCTCTGGTCACAGCGTGTCGGCTCGGCAGTCCACCCTAATGCCGGTTTTCTCGATTCTGCCACTCGGCTGCCACACCCTTCTCCACTCCATCTCCCTCTCTCCCAGCATGCTCGCCCTCCTCTCGGTCTACTCTGGCTACAATGTCGCCGCCCGGCCTGCGGTGCGCAGCATGCGCCATGTCACCAAGCTGGCTGGTGGCGCCGCGCGCGGCGGCAACCCTCTCATGGACATCACGCTTGAGGAGGCGGGTGAGTTCGGCACGACCGACTTCACGATGACCTTCAAGCGCGATGGCGCCGTCATCTCGCCGTGGCACGACATCCCGCTGGAGGCGGGCAACGGCCTCTACAACATGCTCACCGAGATTCCGAAGATGACCCTCAAGAAGATGGAGGTTGACACCAAGGCGTGTGGTTCTCCCGGCCGCTGGGTGTAGCACATCGGCAGCACAGGGATGCCGGCGAAGTAGCGACCAGGGCAGAGCCAGTACTCACGTGCCGGCCTGTCCCTTCCAGGCGGAGGGCAACCCGATCAAGCAGGACGAGAAGAAGGGCAAGGCGCGGCTGTACCACGGCCCGATCTTTTGGAACTACGGCTGCCTGCCCCAGACGTGGGAGGACCCCAACGTCAAGGGCGACGAGAACGTGGGCGGTGCGTTCGGCGACAACGACCCGCTCGACGTGGTCGAGATTGGCGCCGCCTCCCTCTCGATGGGCTCCGTCACGCCCGTCAAGGCGCACACACGGCCCCCTCAACACCGCCTCTGTCGCCGCCACCCTTGCTCCGCCGCCCTTTGCTCCGCCACAGAGCCAGCCACCCTCGAGCCCGACACCACCCTCGCCTCAGCCAGCGTGCCCGCCGCCTCCGTCGCCGCCATGCCTTCGCTGCACTTTCGCCTCGCACCGCGGCCCCGCCACCGCCGCCGACCCGGTTGCCCCGCCACTCACCGGGCCGCTCCTCCTCCTCCTCCTCCCCGCGCGCGCAGCCGCTTGGTGTGCTCTCGATGATCGACGACGGCGAGCTCGACTGGAAGCTGATCGCGATCAACGCCGCCGACGAGCACGCCGCGCAGATCAACGACGTGGACGACATTGAGAAGTTTTACCCGGGCACCGTCTCTGGCATCCGCGAGTGGTTCCGGTGGTACAAGACGCCGGACGGGAAGCCGATCAACGCGTTCGGGCACGGCGAGAAGGCGCTCAGCGCCAAGGAGGCCGTGCACGTCATCGAGGAGACCAACGGCTTCTACAAGGACCTGATGGCGGGCAAGGCGGACGCGGGCAAGCTGTGGACCAAGTGAATTCTCTAGAGGAGTACCCACCGCCGTACGCTAGGACGCCCCCTCTCGCGGGGACGCCTGAGACTCTGGCGCTCTGCTTCGCAGGGCCGCGGTTACGGCATGAGGAGAGCGACACTTTGGTTCCCGGCCTTTGTCGTCCGGCGCTCGCTTGCGCTTGGAAGGACTCGGCGCTCCCGGCCGGCCCGGCGGGTGAGAACTGCGATGGTGCGGACGGGCGGGAGCTCAGAGCTTCGCTCGCGCCGCGGTGGCGCCCCGGCTAATGTTGTTAAAATGCATATATCAAATAAACTCTGTTGGCAAACGCCGCTTCGCCCAGAGCACTGCACATGCAGTAGCCTCGGCGGCACGCCGGAAAGTCCGGGCTCCGCCTCCGCGCTCCGGCGGTGCGGCGGACCCCGCGCGCGCTGTGGACACGACAGTGGACGGCCCCGTGCCCGTCATCCGAGCCGACCGGACCGCACATCCGCTCACGGACACGTGCGGCGGAGCCGGAGGTATCGCGGCGGCCCTGCGTGGGGCGCCGGACGCGGGAGAGACGAGGTGTCGCAGGACAAGACATCACACTGTGACACACAGGAGTCGGTTTAGCCAGCGAGCGCGGCAAGGCGCAAATCGGACCGCAGCCGTGTGTCCAGCTCTGCGTACTTGTGAAGGGAGAGCTCGGTGTGTCGCTCGAGGCGCTGCTCGAGGATCTGAATGCGGAACATGGCCTCCTGACAAAACGCCTCGAACCAAAGGACTCGCCCACACTCCCCACTCGCGTCGATTATTGCGCGGAGTGCGGAGCGCGCCGCTCCCGCTGCCACGTGTGAGCTGGCCATTGGCATTATTCTTTGTTGTGCGCTTGCGGCTTGCGGCGCGTTGCGCTTATTTTTGCGGGCCGGGGCCGCGCTCGAAACAGTCTTGAACACAGAGTCACACACGGTCTCGGTCACGCGCGCGACCAGCTGCGGACCTCTCACGGTCCCTCCGGATTTTAACTCCTATTTTTTCGCCGAGCAGTTTTGGTTTACTAGAAGATAATCGTGGAGCACACGTTGACTGCAAGGCTGTCAGCGCGTGCTCTGATTTATTCATATTCTCTCTTTTAGCTACTGGCACGTGGCAGCGCGCGCAATGCCACGTCTATGAGATGGTGATCGGGTTCTTCTTCACCACGAGATCGACCTTCATGGAAACCTCCGGGTGCAGCTTCAGATCTGCGGAGTAGGTGCCAAGCTCCGAGATTGATGGCAGCGCGATGTTCTGCTTGTCAAGCTTCACGTTTGCGCGCTGATCAATGAGGCTGGCCACGTCCTGAGCCGTCACTGAGCCGTGCAGCTTGCCGTTCGGCCCGACCTGGCACTCGATGAAGAGTCCGTTCTTGCCGAAGGTCTGCGCGAGCGAGGCCTTGCACTCGACGGCGGCCTTCTTCGCCTCGGCCGCTGCCGCTGCAGCCGCCGCCGCCTCCTCTGCCACGCGCGCAATCACCTCCTTCGACGCGATGTTTCCCAGGCCCTTGGACACGAGAAAGTTCTCTGCGTACGCAGGCTTGACGTCCACCAGCTCACCCGCCTTGCCCAGCCCCTTGACGTCGCCGGTCAGCAGCACCTTCACCGCCTTTGCAGCCTTGGCCTTGCCCTTCATGAGCGGCACAGGACTCCGCACCGGCGCGGCGATGGCAGCGCGCGCAGCTGGCTGCAGCGGCCGCGGCTCCAGCAGCAGCGCATAGGCGAGGCAGCAGAGCGCGAAAGCGGAGAGGCGGTGGATCATATGTTCTATGTGTCCTCGCGAGCTTGAGCTTGCTTGAGGCGAGCCGAGCTGTCTGAGAACTGTCCTATTTTTTCTTTTTCCCTAGCCGTTTCTCAAGTCCCTTCCTTCTGTCGCTACGGGGAAGATGCTGGAATGGGACTGGGGGAGTGAGCGGCTCGCGGTTGCCGAGTCGTGCCTGCCATCCCGTGTCGCGGAAGCGAGGCGGCTAGTGGCACAGGAGCTCTGAGAGATTTTTAGCAATACCAAACAACTCTAACACTCACACGTCATTTGGGGCCTGGAGCCCTGTTTGTCAGGAGCTCTGGGTGGTGGGGTGGGAGTGTGTGGGTGCCCGCGCCGCCTAGCTCTGCGGACGGCCCCTCCACCCCTCACGTACGGGTCATGTAGTCCCCACAATCGCTGTCGTGGGATCGCTTGTCATGTGAGAGACTGCGTTGTGTTCTTGTTTGTTGTTCCTTTCTCTCTTTTCCTCCGCGCCGACAGAGACGACTCAGCGATGCTCTTCCTCAGCAGCGCTCTTCTCGTGCGCCCGCCTCTTCTCGTGCGCCCGCCGGCGCCGCGCACCAGATCGGCCGCCGCGATGGCGCTGGAGGACTCGCCGGTCGTCATTGTCCCCGGATTCGGGAACGCCGACATCGACTACAAGACGCCGCTCGGCCAGGACGCCGACGTGGGCCTCGAGTCGGTGCTGGCGCGCCGCGGCTTCACCGACGTGCGCACAATGCCGTGCGAACGGGTCGAGTGGGCGCGGGTGATCCTCGGCCTCCTCGCGGCGATCGTGTGGCGGCCGTGGGCGACGCCGGAGGGTCCCGCCTACTCGTGGTTCATCGACCGTCTGCGCGGCGCCGTGGAGGAGGCGCACGCGCAGAGCGGCGGCAAGAAGGTGCTCCTCGTCGCCCACTCGGCGGGCGGCTGGCTGAGCCGCGCCGCCCTCTCCGACGGCGGCGCGTGGCGCGGCGGCGCGGCTGCTCCTGCCGAGCTGGTGAGCGGCCTTGTCACGCTCGGCGCGCCGCACTTCCCGCCGCCGGAGGGTACGCCCGACATGACGCAGGGCGTGATCCGGGCCGTCAATGACGACTACCCCGGCGCCTTCCTCGCCCGCGAGGGCATCGCCTATGTGACCGTCGGAGGCGACGCCATCGTTGGAGACGACTCAAAGGCGCAGAGCCCGGCCGCGGCGTCGGTGGACAACGTGTACGCGATGCGCGGCGAGGGCTCCGCCGCCCGCGTCGCCTTCAACTCGTACCTGATGACGTGCGGCCGCGGCGACGTGACGGGCGACGGCGTCGTGCCGCTCGAGTGGACGCTGCTGGAGGGCGCGAGGCAGGTGGTGCTGCCGGGCGTGCTGCACTCGATCAACGAGGCGGGCACGACGCTGCCGACCGACCGCTGGTACGGCTCCGAGCAGGTGGTCGACCGCTGGCTCGGCGCCGTGCGGCAGGAGGTGGCGGCGGAGACGACGAACCCGCTCGAGGAGGCGGTGAGCCAGATGAGGAGGCTGGTGGGCCTGGACGCGTTGTGAGTACTGAGTTCCTTTTCTTCCCATTGACGTCTCTCATCTGGTGGTCTTCTATATTTATCTTTTTCCCTTTCTGCCTGGGTTCGGGCTCCTTCCCGGATCCGAGGGAGTAAGTAGTCTCTCGTCTGTCTCGCTGGTCGTCGCCGTGCGCTCAGTCGGCTGTTCGCGTGTCAGGGCGTGTGGTGTCGGCTCTCGCCTCCTCGCAGCTTCGCACCTCGGTGTCTGTTGCCTGTGCGCTGTGCGGTGCTGTGAGTGCCACCAATGAAGCAATGTAAGAGCTTCATATACACTTAAAATATCGCCCCCAGGACGCGCAGGCGAAAAGCGAAAAATGGCGAAAATGCGGCCGAACACGGTACACGCCTCTGGCGTCTGGGAGTCCTCTCACCTCTTGGGACTGAGGGAGGGTGTAGAGGATGTAGAGTGTACGGAGCGATGTAGAGCTGTAGAGCTGTAGAGCGCTCTGGAGCGCTGTAGAGCGCTGTAGAGCTCTACATCCGCCGCGTGACGAGGCGGGTGCGTTGTAGAGCGATGTAGAGGCCCTCTACAACGTGAAATCTCTACAACAAACTCTCACATCATAAGCGGCGAACGAGGCACGCTCGCTCTCCGACATGAGGCGCGTTGCACCTGCCAGTGTGCTGCCCTGGCCTTCTGTGTGCCCGCCCAATGGGTGGCAGGTGCCTCTGCTGCTGTGGCATGCCTCAGGGCTGCGGCTGGCCGGCGCCTCGGCGCGTCAGCTCGGCTCGGCGTAGCGATAGTGGCCAGCGCAACTCGCCTGGACTCAACGCTCAGCCAGGAGCTCCCGCACGCGCTGGCGCGAGTCATGGCGCATGCAATGCGTCTGAATGCTCGCCTCTCGCCTCGAGCAAATGCGACCGTCCTCGCAGCCGACAGTCCACCGCCTGCTAAAGAAGCACTGGTGCGACGAATGCGGCACCGGCGACGCATGGCAGGCTGGTCATGACGCAGTTATAGGGTGTTGTGTGTGCCGTCAGAGTGACTCTCTGTGTGTCAGGGATAGTCAGGGCCGTCCATCAGAGCTCCAGTAAGCTCGGAGACACCCCATTAGTGCGACTCGACCTCTTTGAGTCACTGCCTTCCCGGCGGTACGTTTGGCTGTGTAGAGCCTCTACAACAAACTCTACAGCAAAATCGCGCTCTACATCGCTCTACAACGCACCCGCCTCGCGTCACGCGGCGGATGTAGAGCTCTACAGCTCTACAGCGCTCCAGAGCGCTCTACATCTCTACAGCTCTACAGCGCTCTACACTCTTCATCCTCTACACCCTCCCTCAGCTCTGGGAACTGGGGTCTGGGCGGCGGCGTGTGGCCGTGGCGCGTGGGGAGCGAGGGAGCGTGAATGAACCCGAGTTCGGCGATTGAGCGCCTCCCTCTCTCTCCGGCTGCGCGATGACCGGTGCGGCCTCCGAGTCGGCGTCTAGCGCGCGCGATAAGGTTTTTGCTCGCCTTCCCTGGGACCCCGTGTTGCGTGTCAGCATTTAGGCTGTATATACTTTTCCTCTCGCACCCCGTCTCTTTTCCTCTTCCTTTTTTCTCTACAGCACCCTCTCTTTTCCTCTCTATTTTCCCGGGGAAACCATCAAATTTTCCGGGCTCTGAGCCGAATCTGAGGCTGGTTTGGGCCCAAAATCAGCCAAATCGGCAAAATACCGGGTATTTTGCGGGTATGCCTGGAAAAATCCGGGTATACCTGGAAAAAGCCCGGGATGCTGCCGGTTTCCTCGATTTTGCCTCAGATTTTGCCCCAGACCAGCTCTCAGACTCAGGGAAACTCGCGAGTTTCCAGAATGGAGCACCAAACACCCTCTTTTTTCCCTGGAAATTTCCGGAAACGCAAATTTTTCCTTTTTGTTTGCCGGAAAAGTACATGTATGTACAGGCCAAGTCAGCATGTCTGACGTCACTGTGCGATTTCGGGCCCGGGGTTGTGCGTATGTGTCTCCCCCCATCCCCAGGGCCTCCAGGGCTCGCACCTCACCCTCTCTCACAGACCAGCGCACAGCGCCATTTGCGGTATATCCTTCTCAACAACAAGGCTGTGAAAAACCCACAGCCGGCTGAGGGCCAAAAGTAAAACGCGCAACGCCACTCTCGGCTCTCAGAGCGGCGTTCTATCTCAGTAACCCCGCTCGCAGGTACTAGAGCAGCGTTCGTCAAGCTTAAACCCCACTCTACACAATACAGAGCAGCGTTTGCCTAACAAGACTCCGCTCTGCAACCTTCAGAGCGGACTCTTGCTCAGAAAAACACCGACCGAGCACGTTCGAGCGGAGTCAAGACAGTGCAACACCGCTCAACATAGCGGGAGCGGTCAATTTCCGCGGAGAGGCTGCTTTCGCCTCCCTCAGTCGCGCTCTCCTCCGCTCCTCCTCTTCAGAGCGGGACTTTGCTGAGTGAACACCGCTCTAGCTAGTAAGAGCAGCGATTGCTTTAAGCTGACACCGCTCTAAATGGCGTGAGCGGCGTCGCCCTGAATAGACGCTGCTCTGGGACGCCGGGACGGCGATGCCACCTGACGCCGACGGGTGATTCCACGATCGCTCGTGGCGCGCGGCGCGGCGTGGCGAGCCCCGCCCCTGGGGTTGAGCAGCGTGTGGGTGGGTCGTCACTGCTCCGAGTAGTCAGAGCGGCGTCGCATTTAGTGATACGCCGCTCACGCCATTTAGAGCGGTGTCAGCTTGAAGCAATCGCTGCTCTTACTAGCTAGAGCAGTGTTCACTTAGCAAAGTCCCGCTCTGAAGAGGAGGAGCGAAGGAGAGCGCGACTGAGGGAGGCGAAAGCAGCCTCTCCGCGGAAATTGACCGCTCCCGCTATGTTGAGCGGTGTTGCACTGTCTTGACTCCGCTCGAACGTGCTCGGTCGGTGTTTTTCTGAGCAAGAGTCCGCTCTGAAGGTTGCAGAGCGGAGTCTTGTTAGGCAAACGCTGCTCTGTATTGTGTAGAGTGGGGTTTAAGCTTGACGAACGCTGCTCTAGTACCTGCGAGCGGGGTTACTGAGATAGAACGCCGCTCTGAGAGCCGAGAGTGGCGTTGCGCGTTTTACTTTTGGCCCTCAGCCCCCACAGCCTCGTGTCCAAGCCGGCCGGATGAAGAAGCGCAAGGGCGCCGAGTCGGGTACGGATCGGAAGGCGAAGCGCGTCGACGTGCCGGCGGCCGCCGCCCCACCCGAGGAGCCGGCGTGCTCCACCTACGAGTCCGATGGCCGCGTCGCCAAGCAGCCGCGTGTGATTGTCGTGCTCGAGCGGGCGTGCCTCGAGACGGGCAAGGTGGGGTCGGAGCATGTGCTGCTCAACTCGGACGACCACGGCAACTTTTTGCGCAAGCACCAGCGCGACCCAGCCGCCTTCCGGCCCGACATTCTTCACCAGAGCATGCTGATGCTGCTCGACTCGCCGCTCAACAAGGCGGGCCTGCTCAAGCTCTTTGTGCGCACAGAGAAGGGCGTGCTGATCGAGGTTCCGTCCGGCCGACCCGGCCGACCCGCCCTCTCGCCGCGCGCTGACGCCCCGCTGCGCGCGCGACACCTGCAGGTCTCGCCGCAGATTCGGATCCCGCGCACGTTTCGCCGATTTTGTGGGCTGATGACCCAGCTGCTGTTCAAGCTGTCAATCCGCGCGTCGAACGGGCCGCACAAGCTGCTCAAGGTGGTCAAGAACCCCGTGACCGACCACCTGCCGCCAAACTGCCGCCTCGTCAGCCTCTCCTACGGTGGGCGCCTCGTCTCGCTGCCACAGTACGTGCCGGCGCTGCCGCAGGACGTGCCGATAGTCTTCGTGGCCGGCGCGATGGCGCACGGCTCGGTGAGCCCGGAATACCCCGTCGACGAGACGATATCCATCTCCGAGTACCCGCTCTCCGCCGCCGCCGCGCTCGCGCGCCTGTGCACCGCCTTCGAGAACCACATCGGGATCCTGTGAGGTGGACGGGCGGCAATTGCCTCCCCCTTCTCGCCTATGGAAAAGAAAGAAAGAAATCGCAGGTTTTTCTTCCTCGAGCGCTGTAGCACTCGCAGGAGCGCTCGCCGCCGGGCAGCGCTTCTGCTCGAACGGGAGCTGGGGCGCCATGGGCTTCGCCGCGTGCACGCTGGGCGGCAGCGCCTTTGGCGTGTGGACCATGATCTACTGCAACGCCCTGAGAAAAGCGCCGTATTTCCACCGTGCGCTCCAGCCCGCCTCCGCGCCGGCTTCCGCCCCCCGACCACGCCCCGATCGCGCCCGCAGGGCCGTGGGAGCACGTGCTTGCCGCCGGCTTCTTCGCCTACCTGGCGAACCGCACCTCCACCCTCAGCGACTTCCTCGGCGAGCGGCTCGATGCAGGCGTCATGGAGCAGCTCAAGCAGAACCAGGCGCGCACCGAGACGCGCACCGCCCTGCCGCGGCCGTGCTGCTAGCTTGAGCAGTCGCCGAGCCTCGCTGGCCCCGCGTGTCCGTTGACCCCCCTGGACCCCCGCTGCCGCAGGGCAAGTTTGACGAGAAATACAAGGCAATCTTGGGCGAGAAGGGCTACAAGAAGATCTTTGGTTGAGGGGGCGCACGCATAGCATGGCGTTGCCGGGGCTCAGAAGCAGCCCCAGGTCTCTGTCTCGTGGAGTATTGTCTCAAGATTGTGTTATCCGACGCTGGCCGAACCCCGCGCTCCGCGGCGGGCGCGGCCCGGGGCGGCGGCGGGGCCGGGGGCGGCGGCGGGCGCGGCGCGGGTGGCAGAGCGAGCGGGCCGAGGCGGCGTTCCCTGCTTCATCGGCGCGGGGGCGCCGCTTTTACGAAAAATCACACACCGAACCGCGACCGCATCTCCAGCTGGAGCGCTCGCTCCCGCACCCCCCTCGGGTCGAGCGACTTCGCGAGCTGCGCGCACGCCGATCCTCGGTACAGCTCCCACCAGCCAGCTTGCGCCGCCGCGCGCGGCTCCGCCCACACGGCAGCGGAACCTTCGCCCTCCCCGCCCTCCCCGCGCCCTCCTCCCTCCGCAGCTGCGCGCCGGTCGAGCGCCCAGTAGCGGCGGCCGCTCCGGTCGACGCCGAGGCTCTCGGTGCGGACGCAGAGCTGCGCCATCGCCGCCCTACGCCGGCGGTCGTCGTGCTCGTCGTCCTCTGCGTGGGCGAGAGCGGCCAGCGCGACGTGCGCGTCGAGCACCTCCCTCGTCATCCAGCGGCAGCCCTGCCCCTCCCCCCTGCGAGGCCCGACCCCGTCGGCGGAGGAGTCGCCGACCAGCAGCGCCGCGTGCGCGAGCTCGAGCGCCGAGAGGAGCTGTTCACAGCGAGGAGGAGTGAAGAGACGCGGTACACGCCTCGTCAGCCGGGAGGCACACTCGGCCTCGTCGCGGCTCGCTCCCTCCACCGCCTCGCGAAGGGCAGCCTCCGCGCCGTCGCGCCGTGCCGTCGCCGCCTCGCGCCGCCTCCGGAGCTCGTCGCGCAAACGTGCCGTCCTGGCGGCGTCGCCTCCGGCGCCTCCGGCGCCGCCGGCGAGCTCGAGCTCGAGCTCGACCCCCTGCTCTTAATTAAGGGTTAATTAATATATAGCTCGAGCTCGACCCCCTGCTCGTAATTAAGGGTTAATTAATATATAGCTCGAGCTCGACCCCCTGCTCGTAATTAAGGGTTAATTAATATATAGCTCGAGCTCGACCCCCTGCTCGTAATTAAGGGTTAGTTAAGATATGAGCTCGAGCTCGACCCCCTGCTCTTAATTAAGGTATAATTTAAGGGCTAATTAAGATATGAGCTCGAGCTCGCCCCCCTGCTCAGTGGCGCGCACTGCATCCGTCGCCTCTCGCGGTGCGTGAGCTACGAGGACAGTGGAGGCTGCGAGGACAAGAGTGTGCCACGAGGCAGTGGACTGCCCGACATGTCCGTCGAAGACCGTCGAGTGCGTGTCTTTGAGAGTGCTTGCTAGAGGGCTACCGCGACCGCACCTGCGCGACCTCCGACGCGGTGAGCTCGGCGCGCGACACCACGAGCGCGGGCGGGCCGAGCACGCCCGCTGCAGCCAGCCGCGCGACCACACTCTTTGCGCGCTGCACCAGCGCGTCGCCCTCCGCCTCCGCCCTGCCCCCCTCCGCCCTGCCCCCCTGCCCCTTGCGCTTGCCTCGCGGCTTGAGCTCAAAGTGCTCCTCCACCGCCGCCCGAACCGCCTCGCGGGCCCGCCGCCGGCCGCGCCTCGCGTCCCGCCCCTCCACGTCCAACTCCTGCCACCGCCGCTGCTGCGCCTCGGCGGCGGCGGCCGCCGCCGCCGTCTCGGCGGCGGCGTTGACGAGCAAGCCGAGGAGAGCTAGCTTCGCGTGCGGCGAGAGCCGGCTGTAGGTGGAGGCGAGGGCGGCGGGCGGCGCCGCCAGCAGCGACTGGACTGCCTCCTGCAGCGCCGAGCGTTGGAGGAACGACTCGACCGCCGAACCGCTCCCCTCCTTCTCGGAGGAGGGGCGCTGTTGCGCGCCTCCGCGCGCCTGACCCCGCGCGGGCTGTGGACCCAGCGGCCGCGCGGCGCGGCGTCGGGAAGAGCGACGCGCTGCCGCCGGGGCAGAGGCGGCAGCACCGTCAGAGGCGGCCGGCGGCGCGACGCCCGCCGCCGCGGTGTCCGCTGCAGCCCCTCGGCTCGGTGGCGGGGCTCCGTCGCCGCCGTCCTCTGCAGGCTCCGCGGCCTCTGCAGCCTCTGCGGGCCGGGGCGGCGAGTCTTCGATGGGCGGCATCTCCCCCCGCGCCCACGAGTCTGCCAGGCGAACCGCGCTCGCCGCGGCGACGGCGGGCCTATGGCGCGAACGGCGTCTCTTCACAGCGCGCGTCCGGGGCGGGAGCAGCTCCGCGCGGGATGGCGGGCTCCAATCCGCAATGCCAACCTCGGCCGGAGCAGGTCGGCGCGGCCGCTCGCGGCGCAGCAGACGCGGGGGCGCGATGCAGGAGAGGAGGCGATACTCGACCGCCCCACCCCCCTCGAGCAGCAGCTCGACCGTGGCTGCCGTCTCGTCCAGGGCCATGGTGTGCAGGCCCGATCGCTCGTCGAAGCCAACCAGCACTCCGGTGGAGGGGTGCGGCTTGCCGCCGCCGCGGCGGTCGTGCTCACGCCGGAGCCGCCGCGCCTGTGGAGGAGGGTGCGGGGCATGCAACGGTGCGAGAGGAGCTAGGGCGCTGCACGGCGGGCTGCGGGGGGGCCTGCGCGTGAAGGCTGTCGCCGAGGTTGTCAAGGGGCTCCCAAGTGCTGCTGCCCCTCGAGTAGCCAGCCCACTTGACGAGCCACTCCTCCCGCCCCGCCTGGCCCGGCTCCTGCCGCCGCCGGAAGCCGACGAGGCCCTCGACCGCCCACCCGCCAGCCCCCACCGGCGCTGCCTCCGCCGACGCCAACGGCGCCTCAGCCGGCTCCTCCTCCTCCCCCTCCTCCTCCGCTTCAGGGAGAGACGGCGACGAGTGCGTGGGCTGGCTCATCAGCGCAGAGATGCGCCAGCCGACGAGCTGAGAGCCGCGCAGGACGCGCTGCTGCGGCTCCTCGTCCGCCCCACCGACCACTGCGCTGCTTCCCTCTGCGCTCGCTGCGCCGCCGCTTCCTGGCCTGTCGCGCGGCTCGTCCCTCGGCTGCGCGTCTCTCGGCCACCACCCGCTCGCCGCCTCGTCCGCCAGCAGGAGGTGGAGCAGACGGACGTGCAGCGCTGCCAGCTTTGGCGGCGGCACTCCGCTCGTGTCGTCGAGCATCGACACCAAGCCCTGCAGCCCACACACCTGAGGCAAGCTGAGCGCCTCCCCGAACGCGGCGACAAAGTCGGCCACGGCGAGGAGCGGCCCAGCCGCGCTGCAAGGTACTCCTCCCAACGCAGCCCCGAGCTCGCTCGGCGCAGGCCGCGGGCCCGGGGCCGCCTCCCCAGTCAGGGATGCCATGCGCGCCAGCCTACCGGTCACGCGGCGGCGACTGGTGACCGCCTCCTCCCCCTCACCCCCCCCCCCCTCCCCTGCCGCGGCGCGCTCGACGCCTAGCGTCTGGAACCGCCGGCTCGCCGCCCCACCCCTCCGCCGCCTCCTTTGCGCGCCTACCCCGGCGTGGGACAGGGAAGCGACTCACAGAAGCGCCGTGCGGGCCCCTCCTCCTCCTCTTGCGATGGCGCGCCGCCGCTCCGCCTCCGCCTCCGCGGCCGCCGCCCGCGCCTCCCGCGCTGCGCGGTGGCCCGCCTCAAGGTCGAGCTTGTAGTGGCGCGCAACCTAGCGGTCGGTCATCCGCCATTACAAGCTCGATCGACCGGTCAGCTGATGAGTAGCCGGTGGCGGCGCGCAACCTCGGCTCGCTGGCTACCGCTCCACTATCAGCTACTGCTGTGCTACTGCTGGGCAGCCTCGGCCCGCGAGCGAAAGACGCGCCCCGTGGCCGAGTAGTAGAGGAAGTAGTCGCCCGCGACCTGCGTTGGGTCGGGGCTGGGGTGAGGGTGAGGGCTGGCGACTTGGTCGAGAGGGCAGGAGAGGCCCGCCTTTCCGCCGGCGGGGCGCACGCACAGCTTGACCGACCAGCCCGCGAGCACAGAGTCGCCCTCGCCGCCGCACTCGACGAGGAAGGAGCGCAAGTTCTCGAGCTCCTCCTCCTCGCACCTAACGACCCCTCACCGCGGCCCCGCTCACCGCCGGTGCCCCCTCTCCGAGCCCTCCTCCTCCTCCTCCTCCTCGCGCCGTGGGCCGCGGTGCCGGGCGCGCTTGGCCGCCGGCCCTTGCTCGCCCGCCGCGGAGCGCCTCACGCACGCCGCGAGATCCGACGCGAGGCTCTCTTCGAAGGCGAGCAGCCCGGCGTGCGCGAGCGGCGAGCCGCCGCCACCCGCCGCCCCGCGGCCAGCCCCGCCGCCCGCCCGGCCCTCGGCCACCGTAGAGTGCAAGCGGACGTAGAGTGCGCGCACGTCTGCAGCGAAGGCGGAGACGTCCTCGCCGTACCCGCCCCCGTCCAGCCGCGCGCGGATCTCGCCCAGAGAGGCGCCGCCACGAGAGGCCTCCCCCTCGGGCGGCGAAGAGGCCGCCTCGAGCACCCTCCCCTCCGGCCTCGCAGAGACGGACGCGAGGAGCGCGCGCCCGAGCCTCGCAACGTCGTGGGCGGGCAGGGTCGCCTTGAGGCCGGCGGGCAGGGCGCAGAGCGCGAAACCACCGCCGTCTCGCTTGCCGCCGCCCTCGGCCGGCTTGCCCGCCCGCAAATGCTCGCACACCCGCCGAGCGCAGGGCTGCTTGAGGGTGCCGGGGCCGCCAAACTTTGCCATGTCGCTGCACGCCCTGCACTGGCCGCAGTCGGTCGCCCTGCAGTTTGCGCACTCGCCGCACCGGCTCCGCCGCTTCGAAGGCGTGCTTCGCTCCTCCGCGCTGCGCGGCGGCGCCGCGCCGCCAACCTACGGGCGGCAGGCGGACGGTAGGCGAGCCTCTCCACACACTCGAGAGGGCCATGCCCGCGTGGTGGGCGGGCAGCCAGCCTCGGCGTGCCAGTGCGAGTCGGCGAGCACCCAGCGCGGCCGCAGCACCTCAGCGCCCACCCACCTGTTCACGGCACACTGCCGTGAAGAGGCGCTGCTCCCGAGGCGACCGCAGCACGATCCTCGCCCACCGCTGCCGCTTGTATAGCTCGGAGCTGACGAGGAAGGAGGCCTCCGCGGGCCGGCTCTCGAGCAGTCGCACCTCCCACCAGCCGTCGTCGTGCAGCAGGGAGAGCAGCTTGCCGGCGGGAAGCTGCGACGGGAAGCCCGGCGGCGGCGGCGGCGGCGGCGGCCGCAGGAGGCGGGTGCTCGTCCACTCGGTCAGCAGCGGCGCCTCGCCGTCTCCGCCGCCCTCCTCCTCCGCCTCGACGCAAAAGGCGGCGTACTGCACGAGCGCCTTGCCTTTCCGGAGCTGCAGCACCTTGCCTCCGTACAGACTGCCACGCAGCCCCTCCTCCCCCATCTCGACCTCCACCTCGGCACCCGCCGCCAGCCAGTCCGGCGGCTGCTCAACGTCCACGCGCGCGGGCATGGCCGGCCTGCCGGCCGCGGGCGAGCACCCGCCGCCGCTCAGCTTCGGCAACCTCTCCGTGGTTTCGCCGGAGCCACGGCTTGCCTCGCCGGCCGACTTCTCGGCAAGGACTGCCGCGCAGTCATGCTGCTTCTTCTTCGGCAGGAAGCCGCACGTGCCGCACTTGTACTCGCGGACTTGTACTTCCGCTGCACCGCCGCCGCTCGCCGCCGCACCAGCTGCGGAGCCGGACTCCGCCGCCGCACCGCCAGCCTGCTCGAGCCAGCAACCCTGGACGGCATCCCACACCTTTGGTCGCCCGTTCTCTCCGTGTGGCGCGCGGCCTCGCGGACGGCCGATCGGTGCGCTGCTGGAGCTGCGGGAAGCTGGTGCTGCGGCAGGGCTCGCTGGTGCTGCGGCAGGATTGGCTGAATCTGCGGCAGGGCCCACTGGTGATGCGGCGGGACTCGCTGATTGCGACTGTGGGACTGCGTCTGCGCGCGTCACTTCTGGCTCCGAACCGCCCGACTGCGACATGTTGTCGTCGTACGCCGCCCTTTCCTCTTCTCGTCGCTGCCTCACGTGTGACCAGCTTGCCGGTCGGTCAGCAGGTCACAAATAAAGAATAACCTGCGCTGGCTGGGAAGAGGACCGCCGCAAGCGGCGTGGCGTGGAGCGATTGTGCATCCCTCCGGGGGCCCCTCTGCGCCGGGGAGGCGTTGTTGGAGGCTAGGACGCAAGCGTCCGTCGCCCTTTTCAAACTCGGGGCCCACTCCGCTACGCTCCGACCCGAATTTGGAGGGCCTAAAAGTTTAAGGTGTTGCTGCGCAAAAGGGGTACCGGGCGCAGCTCATGCTAAGAGCTAGAAGAGGAAATAGAGAGAACAACCACCCTGTCCCGTTATTGCGTACACCAACACCACAAAACGCTCTCTCTCTCCTGTCCTCACTCAGGGGGGTCACAACTACCAAGTCCCTCGACTAGCTGCCACAGGGCGCAGCTGCCACAGGGCGCAGCTGGAGACGCTCCCCCTCAATCGGCATCCACCCCCACCCGCTCCAGCCCCACTTCTGCCGAGAGAGCTGAATCGAAGCAAGCGAGCCATTGCATCTTGGCGTGCTCCTGGAGCGCGGCTTTCTGCGGCCTCGAGCACGGCGGAGTCGGCGTCGTAGTGCGCATCGTTCCCGCTCATCGCCCATTCCTCCCGTGACGTGTGTCGGCCGCGATTCGATGTCGCCACCTTCATCGCCAACGAGGACTCCCTCGACTGCAGGGGGGCTCCGGCGCGGGGAGGGACTCCGCCTGCTGCGCTGGCCGACTGCGCCCTCCTCCTCCATGGGATCGATCCGATTCCGCAGCGGCGGTGCTGCGCGGGAGGCGGCCGCGGGCACGCTGGGCTCGATCAGCGGCTTTCCCCTCAGGTAGCGCGAAGAGCACGGATTTGGCGGACGTTCTGCTTTCAACTTTACGGATGTCTTGGCACCAGCTGAAGGCTTGCGTCCCACATCGCCGGATTTGTGCACGGTATTCGGATTTTGCTATTTGTTCGTGTGGGGGTGTATATTGCAGATTTGTCAATGGTACCGCGTCTGCGACCAACGATTCTCATGCCCACACAGAAAGGACCAAAATGATGTACAAAGTTGCTGAGGCCTCTGGCAAGCAGTTTACTATGTAAACCCAATTTTGGTGTTTATAACATTTTTGGCTGGCCGCCTGGCAGCGGGGGGCCAGCCCCCGCCATGGGCCCCGCCGGCTGCGCACGGAAAATCTCCTAAGTCGATTTGTACCGGATTTTGAAGATTTTGGCAAAAGTGCGAAACCGAAAATGGCGTTTAAATTTGCGCACCTGCTGTCCGCCGCCTGCGGCGGCGCTGCGCGCCGCTGGCGCGCGCTGCGCGCGCGTTTTTGTTTGGGGTGCAGCGGCGCTGCGCGCCGCCGTAGGGGCGCCTGGGGGGGGCCTGCACAAAGGATGCGAGCTCGAGCACATCGACGCAATCGACGGCGGCATCGAGGAGGGGATCAACCTGGGTGGGGGTGGGGGATGGGTGGGGTGGGGTGTTTTGGGGGGGGGGGGGGGCCCTGGGGGGAAAAGGGGGGGGGGGGGGGA